CTACTAGGAACAGGTGCCACGCTAGTAGTAACAGGTGCCTTACTAGTGGTAACAAGAACGCTACTAGGAACAGGTGCCACGCTAGCAGTAACAGGTGCCTTACTAGTAGTAACAATGTTCGCTACTAGGAACTAATCTCCCAATGTCACAGTCTGCTTAGTGAACCACTGGGAGTCGTGGTGCTAGCTGATACTCCGCCCCCAAGTGTAGTTGCCTGGCATGGAGGGAACGACTCACAAAGTTCAGTTAGAATCTTCTCAAGAATGAGTCGTTCCCTCTGATGCTGGTTTGACACAACGGGATTCACCTTATTGTGCTCCCTACTCCATGTCTGAAAGACACTTGCTCTAACTTCGGGCTGTCCAACTCGACAAACTATGGCGGTAGACTATGACAGACGCTCTGGGATGTGGGTGTAGATGGCTAGACGCTGTGATAGGACGCCATGCCCCATGTACGGAGATGGCAAGTTCTCAAACTAGTTCCATCTTCAGAAAGGGCCCTGAGCGACCCCAAAACCCGCCAGAAACGCGGTCTCGTTCGACACGTTGTGCTCGCCTTGGGACGGTGCAAGGAGAGACCGGGTTTTAGAGGGGAGGCCGGTCCTCTTCCAAGAGAAAATGAGCATTGGCATCCTGAGACGCCTTCCCAAGTCTGGCCCCAAAAGACATACCTTTGGATGAGCCATGCCCTTGTTACTAGTAGCTTCTTGCTACTAGTAGCGATGCCAGGAGCCCCTAGTAGCTTCTAGCTACTAGTAGCCATGCCCTTGTTACACTAGTTGTAATGCCCTTGTTACTAGTCGCTGGGAGTACTCTTAAGGCCATACCTTGTGCGCTTCCACCTGACTCGTCTACTTGTGCCAACGAGGATACAAAAAGGTGCAGATTTGTCTGTGCTCAACTCGCTGACTCAAGGCGATATTAACGTCAATGCGACATCCAGGCGAGCTGATGGGAAGTACCATAGACAGCCATAGTGTTTCTGGCTGTAATTCCAGATGTTTATCATCAAGACGATGCGTTTGTTAGACCAAGCAACACTGATGCTCTTACCACGTCTGCTAAGCAGAATATGCTAAGGGCTGCACGGAATGTACTGGCCGTGGTCGTGCTAAGCATCACTGTGGTGGCCGTGACCTTGGCATCTGAAAGATTCGAGGTGGATCTGGATCTGGATCTACCCTCCCACCTACTAGCGATGGCCTCCAGTAACAAGTGCCTCGCTACTAATAACAAGTGCCATACTAGTAGTAACAAAAAGCCATTAGAATTAAATTAGATTAATCTATTTTAACTTAATGGCTTCTTGTTACTACTAGTAAGGCACTTGTTACTAGTAGCGATGCACTTGTTACTAGTAGCGATGGCCCCCTAGCCTTTACAAAGACCTTTCAAAAACCCAAAGCCAAGGAAACCACCAACAGAGTTTCCAGATCTTTCCTGCACTCGAAAACAAGTTTACTTCCCGAGGCAAGCTTGGATGTACAAAGGACAGCACTTCAAACTAGTAACAGCAACCTATTAGTTAAGTTTCCCTAAAAATCTGGGAACCAAATCATTAGTGCCAGCTAGCCTGCATCCAGTCGGTAGTAGCTATTTAAGCTACTAGCTATTCCTCTAGCGACCTCTATGGCCTACCCCCCATAAGAAAGCGTGTGAAGTCCAATATGGCAACCCCGCCGACCTGACAACCTCCCAATCTCAAGCTTTTTGCAAAAACCCTTCGCAGCGTCGCTTCGAGGAACAAACGTCCGGATTGCCCTTCTGAGCTGCGATATCCCAGTCAATCCGTGTTCTCAATTTCTTCGACTGCACAACTTCCGGGTCGCCACGGTAAGCTGCAACCCACACAGTCGGGACGCCCTCTGTGCATCTTTCTTTCAGCTCCACCGAGCAACATGACATCCGAGTGGCCATGGTGGTCTGCGCCAATCGGTGCCTTCCTGTGGCCTCCTTCTATTCGGGTACCGTCGCTTTAGAAGCCCTGGGTCTTTACATCAGAAGCACCCCAAATCTAGGAGTTTGTTGCGCCAGACACGGCAATGACTTCCATACTTGCAGCAGAGAAGAGCAGAAAGGATACGGCTACAGCATACTTTGTTCATGTCGTGTCCAACTCTTAATAACCCAGCAGTTTGTGGTGTCCAAGGATGTTCTGCATCCTTCTCATCGACAGTCTCAGAAATCAATAAACAAGATGAAGCGTTTCAAGCTCCAAGCGTCCACTGAGCTCACGTCTGAAGGCCTTCCAAACAAAATGATCGATTTAGAATTGGATTTAGAATGCCCACGACGGCCAAAGCTTCCCCAGATTGGTTCTGGGAACCCACGCACTCGATGCGGTTGAGCTAATGGTGTGGCTGGTGCTACTGGTGACCTTAGCAAGCAAGATGTTGTTTTGAACGGTTGAAGAGTTTCACATGACCCTTCCGAAGTCATGAGAGTTATCTTTCTTTTTGGCTTCTCTCAGTTCAAGTGAGGTGTTGTGCACCTGCAGTGCACTGTCCCTTTGGGATGCAACATGCAACATTCCAAAAGGGATTGCTTTCCGCAACCACACCAAGACTATAGTGGGAACCTTTGAAAGAACTGCACAACCGTAAGTCCAGCCTGTTCTATTAGGTTCCCTTTGCTATTAGGTTGGAGGCAACTTCAGTCCAGCCTGTTCGGCAAAGAGTCGTTTCAGGTCCCTAACAGATTCTCCACCACATGCCACCATTTTACGGAGCTTGTCCTCGTCGAGCTTTGCGATTGATTTCTCCCACAGCAATGACTTCCGCATTTGCAGCTTAGAAGCGCAATGTCTTCATGTGTCCACTACAGCAGTTCATTTTT